ATGATCGCTACCAAACTTAATTTGCCTACGAAGTATTTGAGAATGTGTTAAGAAGATAGGGATTGTTCTTCCTGTTAGGGACGGGAAACGAAAGCGAACCTCCACGGTCAACACACAGATTACACAGTCCAACTGCGCATATATACCATTTCACGCATTCTGATTTGATAGCAAGATCGCCATTGCTGTCGGTTTTCTNCGGTTTTCTGCCATGAAATTCAGTGTCCCGAACAAGCCAGTTACAGAGTCTTTTGGACTCCGACCCGGAAGACGAGAGACATCTACGCTACTTAACCGCTCTGTGCATTTCATAACTCGTTTACACTTCATGTGCTAACCTCCACGTGGCTTTCTCCAGTCTAGGACAGCCACCACAATTAAGGCGCGGTGCAGTAGGTGACCGTCGGACCTACACAAAACGTGTTTTGCCCAACGGAGTCTATTGACCTGGATCCGAAGAGATAGGGAGTTCTTGTTCGATGCATTCTCAAACACCCGACGACTTACTTCAAAGTTACTAACCAACTCACTCCATCCAACCTGGGCCAGACTACGTAATCATCGTCAAAAACCACTATACAACAGATGTTTTCTACCAGCAGACTCAAGGTCTCACAATCATAAAGCAGAACTGATCGTACAGTGGCGCAGTATAGGTAACTTTTCAACTTCAGTGAAACGTCACGTCACGGCCACAGGTGTTTAAGTCTTGCGTAAGCTGTTCAAGCCGTGGAAATGCGGGTGGTTGTCTACTTTGATGCGATACTGTCGTTTACCAGACAGCTACCTAAGTACGAAAAGCAGTGAACTTCAGCTTAATCCTCAACGTCTAGTTTAGGAACAAAACTCGGCGACACCCAGTCTTGTGGCATCACTTTGCACTTTAAAGGTGCAAAGCACTTACCGATAGGAGCGACAGAACTTGCTAATCTGTCAAGTGATCTTTGTGCATCCTTCATCGATTCGAACAAGCAAACAATGGCGTCAGCGTACTCCAAATCGCACAGCTCTCCTCCAGTTGCCCATTCAATACCTACATTTTGGAGACCACGTAATTTGTTCTCGAGTATTTCATCTGTGACGAAATTGAACAGGAATGTTGAAATAGGGCATCCTTGCCGAGCACCGCTGCTAGTTAAGAACGACCTACTCAGCTCGCCAGAAGCATGGGAGTCGAATGAGCTCAGTATGTTCACATACTTCTAGGGCATTCCTTTGCGAAGGAGCGAATCCATAAGGGATTCACGATCAACTGATTCAAAGGCTACTTTTAGGTCAGGGAACACGACAACCTTTGGTAGACAGTGCGTATGACTTAGTTCGAGTATTTAACTTAGAGTGAAGATTTGGTCGATACAACCGCGACCTGGTTGAATGAAATCCTGCGTGTTGTTTGCGGATATTTGTCTCCTTCAATGGTATCAGATCTCGAAGTATGCTGACGATTGGGATCAAACTTATTTCACGATAGTTTGTGCATTCGTTGTGGAGTCCTTTCTTAAAAATCGCGATTGAGAATAATCGCCAAAGGAATGCCACAGTGTTTTGGCAGCCACAAAAAGCACTGGAAATATTATTATTATTATTATTATTATTATTATTATTATTATTATTATTATTATCTGGATAATAGCCACTCAGATGACTTCGTTGATCGTCCAAAACCAGATTCCATAAAAAATAAAGTGAAATAATTATGGAATTCCTTCGAATTAGAATCAAAGAACGAAAATCATTTACGTATCACTTGGGCATATAATTTCCGATCACCTCAATAAAGTTCACTACCGCTTGCTTTGGACAATCCTTTATCAAGGATTTCGAACGATAGCGATATAGTTTGAAACATGTGAACACAATGGCTGCCACGAAATCCAGTAGACTACTCACGAGTAGTTAGTTTATCGTTAAAATTCATATTGGGGACCCTACGGGTGATATACGCGTCCGAGATGAGATGATTGAGGCACAACAACCGCTTGGATCTTGCAAAGACGGGTTGTTCAATATCTGGTACAGACAAAATAAAAATCGCCGAGTCAACTTCCCGATACTCAAGTGAGTAGTATGTTTGCGTTCTATTTGTGAGGTCCTGGGTTCCACCGTCAGTTCGGTCTAGGAATTCGCAATGCATCTGAGGCTCAATCAGCGGTTCAGTGATACGGGTCTTTACTCCTCTTCTTTGCAGATATACTTGTGAGCGCAAATGTTCTATCCGTGATTGTTAAAGATTCATCACATGTATTCTCATGCCCCCAAAACCTTACAAATCCAGTATATTCTTGACGAACCCTTCTGTCTTCCTATTACCTCCAACATCACGTGATCTTAAATGAGCAGAATATGCCATTTTCAAACATTCAAATTTTTCACCGATTGACAGACTCACGTAAGACGGGCAAGCAGTTCACTTGAGAAAGTCTTAATTGAAATCCTTCTCGAACACGATATCGAAACGGAAAGATGGAACGCATTTGCTCCGGTTTTGTGAAGTTGCCCAGGTTTCGAATCGGAGAAAGACGTTGCAGAACAAAGCTTCTGATATATTCCTTCGTTAGTTGTTCTGACTGTCCTCGTAGGTCACCTTAGTTTATTGGAAACAATGATATACATAATATTAGTAACAAAATCAAGAGTCGAAAGAAGACAATTGATACCAGATGGTAACATTCCGTTTTTCTTCGTCTCAGTTACTCACATAAAATACACATAACACATTGAGTTAATCAGTCCCGATGAATAAACATGTGCATACAATCAGCGATTACCAAAAACAGACTTGAGGATGATAACCTGCCGATGCTCGTGTAACGAGTATGCATGTACCACGATACACCTTCCAGTCAGCCAATCAGGAAACGGAGCTCCTGACCAATCCTGTCGTCTCAAGTGGAATCAATCGGATTGGTTGAATGCTGGAAAACAACCAAGTGGGCCATATCGTCGTGGATCGGATATCAAAAAATCGATCAATGATTGTTTGATGTTTGTTCTACCTGAATTTACACTATTTAGTGGGTTTTTAGTCCGAATCCGATTGGATTCCGATTATCTTTCCGAATAGGATAAAACTTCACGATAAACAGGTTGATTGCGTCGATACCAACTCTTGGGTACATCTATTTGGGCAATATAATTAGCAATGCTTCACTAGTCTCCATTACCCAAAACAGAAACTGAGAATTTACGACCAATCGCCTGTGCTTCTATTTTACTATAAATTTTCGAAAAGTGTATGCTTATTAACATTATTTTCAACGCTGGGCAGCTAAATAACAACCAATTTGCTTATCACAAACAACATTTTACCTTAGATGCTCTTGCATATTCGGTAAAACTCAGTTTTGCGATCGCTAGATCTGCACGGCACAGCATTTCGTGTGTGCTTCCTCGGCTATAGTAAGGCTTTTAACCGTGTTGACAGGAGCAGGCTTTTGTCTCTACTCCAAGGTGATGGATTGCCCCATACTACCCTGTTTCTACTCCAAGATTATTTTACTGGTAGAACACAATTCACAAGGTTCCTTGGAAAAACCCTACCGGTCAACTTAGGGAGCAATTCTCTCCCCTTTTCTATTCTCTTTCCATTCACGTGACCTTCACACCAACCCAGATGATCTTCTCATTAAGTATGCTGATGCCGTCACAATAGGTTCCAAATTCCAAGGTGATTTCCGCATTTCGCAGCTTCAAACCAGTTTATCCGCCTTAAGCTTACGGTCTTCGTCTTCCAAGTTACCTCTCTATGCTTCTAAATTTATGGCTGTCACTTTCTCACTCATGATTTGGTTAACTTTATCATCAAGGTCAACATTTTACTTCTTGCAATAACAATATTCTACCAGACACCACTCATCCACTACACACAGAACTTAAATAATGCATATCCACTTCTGTAAC